GTCTGAATTTTAAATAATCAGATACTTCACATTTACCATGTGTTCAATTTTGTGTTTGTTCTTTTTTTCCACAGGTACCATGTGCCATTGGAAATTTTTTCCTACTTTCCCCCGTTGTTTCTAAATAAACCTACTTGTTGAATATATATGACAAAACAGCATTATGATCAGTTGTATCATACACAATTCAATATAACATATCAGGTTTGGATGTATGATTTTCTTTTTTTTTTTTTTTTCATGTAACAAGCTGTTATAATACATATATGTTGTACAATTTTTTTTAAATTATTTTTAAAGTATGAAAGTACTTTTAAGTACCTTAAAAAATGCATGCGGAGCCAACCACAAAACCAAATGTTTTAGTTTATAGTTATAGTAACTGTAGATAAAGAGTTAAAGTTTTAAATCAAATACATTACAGAATTTATTCTTTACCTGATTAAACAGGACTCTAGGATCATAAGATGCTTGATTTTTTCTTGTTTCAGGTTTGTATGATTTCAAATCCTCTGGAAGCACTCCTCCTGCAGAAACCTTACTGATGATCACTGCATTTTTCCTGACTTCCATTAAAGACTGAATGCGATCTTGAAATCCTGGCTTGGCCTCTTGTTTCTCAGACTCAATCATCAGATCAATGTAGTCAGGGGTGGAAAGAGGATTGGGCTTGAGAGCAATTTCCTGCAGCCGCTCCAAGGACTTTTGAGATTTTTCAATTAGACCGGTCACAATATCTTGGACAACCATAAGCTCCTTTTCAAGCTCTTCAAAGATCTTTTCCTTTGACATGACCTGTCCATGTGCAGCCTCAAATCGCTTCTTTAAACCCTGATAGGTTCCCTTTCTCTTTTCTTTGACATAAGTCCATTTGTATTTTTGATTGAAGTGCACATTCCATGCACACTTTCCTGGACAGACCTGACACTTTCCATCTTTCATCGCACAGCACTTATATTTATCACTGTCATTTGCATAAACACATGCATCATGACATGTGAAGTGACAAGTCTGGCAGTTGGTCAAAAAGGAGCTTGTTTTGTTTTCAATCTGTTTTGGGTCATTTATTTCAAATTCGTATTCAAAATCCTTGTTTGCATCCATTTCAGCCTTGTGCTGCTCCAATGCAGCTCTTGTTTTCTTGATTTCATCCAGTTTTGTCAGACCAGCATTTATTTGGGGCTGGAGGCCTTCCACAAGCACTTCTAGCTGTTGCCGCTCTTTTAGGACCTCCTGTGTTAGATACAAGCTCTTGGTTTCCATATCATTAAGGGATTTGAAAAATCTTCTCATGCTAGAAATTCCCAACTTCCAGAACATTTGATCAAAGTTTTCAAAGTCAGACTCCTCATCCTCTGCCGTTTTATTATTGATAGCAAACACAGCAGAGTTGTTGAACTTGAAGTGAAGTGGTTCTTTAGACTCATTTGTAGAACAGGGCACCTGGGAGACTTTGATGGCCTCGAGAACTGGAGGTCTTTTTCCATCTGCAAAGGTGACCATCATAAGGATGTTTTCAGCAATATCCTTCCCGAATATGGAAAGAATGGAGTCAAAGATGTATTTCTGTGTGTGTGTCAGACGAGCAAGCGAAGCCTGCACTACAAAACACACGGCATCAATGTTGTCGATTCCTCCATCGGCAGAAAAGAACTCCTGAATCTGTTTTGTGATTTTCTGGTCATGTGAAATTCCTCTGGTATCACCGAAGCCTGGTGTGTCCACAATGGTCAGAGAATATGGAACACGGAAACCATCCATGTGATTAATCTGATATGCTGTGATCTGTGATGTCTGACTTACAGCCTGGGATTTCTGCTTCCCTTCATCTATTAGCACAAACCGGAAGTCGTCTTCCCATTCCACTCCCAGAATGTAGTTGATCATGCTGTTAATTAGAGTGGTTTTTCCTGCACCCGTGGCTCCGATCATCATAATGGTTTTGTTTGGTTTTGTGGTGTTTTTTCCAAATGTGCTTCTTCTGCAGAATCCGTCACTGTTCTGCCATGTTTCATCCAGGTGGAGTTTAAACATTGGTAGATTTTCATTGCTTCCATCTTCTATTTTTCCACTCAACTTGTTCTTTATAATTTGTGCAACACTTAAGCCCCTTTCATTGCTGTGGTCTTTTTCCATGGTTTTGCTGCTTGTGTTTTCTCTTGATGTTTTTGAAATGTTGTTAACAGTAGACTGGCAGAGTCTAAATGTCTTTTTCTGACCTTCCACCTCTGCTGGAAAAGCAAATAATTGTTTGTACTTTCATTTATAAATACAGCATAGAAAAGAGGTGAGTACAACCCTGTGCAATATCACTAAAATATACTTAATTAATCAGTAAGTATTCATTCACACTGTGTAAGGCTGTACAGTACCTAAACAAAACGTTTTTTTTGTAAATATTTGGTTACTACATGTTTTAAAAGTGTTCGGTTCGGTTTGATTTTAAAAGTATTCTATTCAGATTGATATCAATTTATTTTTTCACAGCTACCATAAATTGTGATTAATCAGACATTTTTAATCCAAAGACAGTCTAAATATTTAAATATGACCTTACAAAGAGGACAATTCAAAAGAAAACAAACAGATCATTCTTAGGAAATTAGTAGGTGAAGACTTGAAACCAGCCCAGAATATGAACTCAACACGCTAAATCGAACATTAAGTATTTTATCTCCCATAGAAAGCTGTTATGCAGTAAATGCATGATATAAAAAGGCAAAAGTTGGCATACAGTTGATTAATAAAATACACTATGTACAGGCGAGCAGATGAACCCGACAGAATATGAACAATGCGGTGAACTGCACGTTATTGAGACTTTGCGCGTTGCTTTCATATTCTGGCCACATCTTAGTCCATTAAGCCATGTTAAGCATTTTCTATATAACGGGTTTCTTTGGGGGAGAAATTAGCAATTTAGCACATTGCGTTAATATTAGAGGCGCCGCAACTGTAGCTCATGTTTAGAATTTATAACCAAAAACAACTCCAGCTGTTATGTCATATAAATCAAATGTAACCTAATTTAGTCTTGATTACGATTTTTGATTTTTTTTTTTAAAAAGTTTAGAGGAGAGAAAAAGTTTTCAGACTTAGGCTCAGGAAGGATCTAAGACGATATTTTTTTTCCCACACTGAATTTTATTTTTAATTGTGTGGTTCTGGGCTTCTGTAACATACCTTCGATCCCCATTAGGAAAAGTTGTGCACTTGTTTAACCTTAATGGACTATATGCACGGTTACTTCCTGGTTTTAGATTAGCCAGCGCGGTCATTTCTGGTCAACTGTCAAAATCAGTTGTGCTATAAGGGGGAAAGAGGAGCGCCCATTGCACGGTTTCTCTACATAATCCATTCACAATTTGAATAACATTTTTGTTTGTCTAAGAGGACCAAACCTCCACATATACTGTTTCAGGAATGACAAACGCAAGTGTAATAATTACGCAAGTGAATCTAATAAATTATTCCGCTAGTCATTGCTATGATTAACAGTGATAACTGTAGCAATGGACGGAACAAAACATCTGACAAGCCTAAGTCAAAACAGACCTGTGCATTAAGTGATTCAGACTAAATTCAGAGTAACAAAACTACAGCAGCAACAAGTCTGTGTTGCCTGAATATATTTAGCAGCTTCTACAGTTAAAGATAAAACTTTAAAATGGTAGTTTTTAAATTCAATCTAAAATATTTAAACATATTATTTGTAGTTAAGTATTTAAGTCAAGTCAAGTCAAGTCACCTTTATTTATATAGCACTTTTAACAATACAGATTGTGTAAAAGCAGCTGAACAGCATTAATTAGGAAAATAGTGTGTCAATGATGCAAAATGACAATAGTAAACACTCATTTTTCAGTTAAAGACAGTTCATCATTGAATTGAGCTGGATGATGACATCACTGAATTCAGTTTAAATCCACTTTTTCTTGTGGTAAAAATGGGCGCGGCCATTTGTAAATTATATGGGTCTGGCTTCCGGTCTCATCTGCGTCCACTCCGTCCAGCTATTTTTAGCTGAGCAAAACAGTTCGTTTTGCTGCTTGATATTGAAAGTTGGTGTGTCTTATCATATTATTTTAATGTATTATCTTAATTATGAACACACTGGTTTGTAGTGCAAACAGTTTTACCGTTTACTGCACGTTGTTATTCTCCTTGTTATTTACCTATAGTGGCTAATGAACCGGAAGTCTCACCCATAGGGTTATTTCCGCGTTGAAGAAAAAGGTGGATAGTATCTTTGCAATCATTTGCAATCAAGTCAACGATATCGCTGGAATGAAGTGTCGCCAACTAAGCAAGCCAGAGGCGACAGCGGCAAGGAACCAAAACTCCATCGGTGACAGAATGGAGAAAAAACCTTGGGAGAAACCAGGCTCAGTCGGGGGACCAGTTCTCCTCTGACCAGACGAACCAGCAGTTCAATTCCAGGCTGCAGCAAAGTAACATTGCATATTTAAATAATTAACGCTTCTAGGTTGCTGGTGTCTGGGCGTATTTATTTATTTTTTAAATTACATGAGACTTTGTGACTTCCTGCACTTGCTATTTCATACTTAAGTACAGTAAAAGTAATTTATATATATAATTATCATTTTATAATAAATCTAAAAGCAAGACGTGGAAAAAAAAACTAGGGAGTGGAAATGGCAACTGAGCTAATGAGTGATCCTCTGCTGGATCTACAGGTTATAATGGTCATTTCATGTCATTTTCATCATAAAGGTATTTTGCTGCGTCTCAATGTGCCTACTTATACTATGCCCTTAAAGTATGTACTCTTTTGGTCGTACTGGAGAGAAAAGAAGTAGCTCATTGATTTGCCAGTCGTGGGTCTCTGCAATTGGGTATTCTGTTGACATTTTTTTTTTGCCATTTTACCATTTAAACCATGTATGACGTGACATTTATATATATATATATATATATATATATAAGATAAATAGTATAAGATTATTAAAATTTGCACTCATTTGTTGGCATTACAAGCATATCAAATGATAAATCCTACTGCTGAGAAAGTGGTTGTTTAATAATTAAAAAAATACTGAAGCTCGAGGTTATATCTGCAACAACTGTAAGACATTGTCTCTTAAGAGAAAAGGTCAACTTAGATGGCTCAGAAGGTAACAATTCTAAGAAAATATGTCCTTTTTAACATCAAGGCTTTGCTAAACTACTTGCAAGAGTAGAAAAATCTATTTGTGTTACACTAACTGAAAAATAAATGCTGTATTTGCTAGAGTAATTTAATACTTTTTTTTAATCCTAAAATCCCTAATTCAACAAGGACTGGCAAGCATACCAGCCAAAACAAAGATAAGTGTCACCCATATTGAATGTTATTAAAAACTTAAATTCAAATAGGAAAAGTTAAGATTCTGTGTATCTAAGGTGAAGTGAAGGCAAAAAAGACTTACTGTTATCTGTTATTTTGGTTTCCTCTTGAATCTGCTCTTCATCTGTAGCTGCAAACAAGCCTCTGCATTGGATTTTATAGTCGAATCTGCTGCTCCTCCCCATAAAGTGGAGGGGGGGGGGGGGGGGGGGACTTCTTTCATTTTTTATTCCAGTAACTGTAAGGCTTTATAAGAAGCTGCTTAGCATCAGCAGACCACTAAAGAAAATCAATGTCACACCTATTGGAATATTCTAACCAGACAAGATTACATTTTACTGTGCAAATGATGATTAATTGAATAAATCTATAGAGAATCTACAAAAATGCAACTAGGTGCAGTTCGAAGTATATTGTAGTAGGAATTAATCTGTTTGCAAAATTAAATGTTACTTTGTCTTGAGTCATTGAATTGTGACTTTAGTTGCATTCCCCACTTTGACATCATTCATTAACATAAGTTATTTTTTTATAATTCAGGTTTTATCAAATAAATAATGGAACTGTGGTTTTGAATAGGTTCCCGGATAGTAGTTCCCAACTATGTCCATGATATTATCATCTGTAAGATTGATTGCTCTCAAACTTTTAATAATCTTGTGTGAAAGTATAGTACATTGCCTTTTAATATCACTTGGCAATTGTAATGCCAATAGACCAGTGCAACTAGATTCAGCAAGAAGAGGGTTTCTCAGCTCTGGCCCTCAATATCATTGAGTGAGTGTCACCTCTGAAAATCCTGTCAGCGGTCACCGGAGGTCCCCTTCACCCGAGTTTTCGATTCGGGACTACATTTCCAAGAACCCACATACCTGGACTGATTGCACAATACTCAGGACTTTGTTTACACCACACAGAGAGGAGCTTACAAGGCCCTCCCCCTCCCCCACCTCGGTGCCTCAGACCACATCACTGTCATGCTAATGCCTGCATACAGACCGCTCGTTAAAGTCACCAAACCAGTTCAGCTATTATCATCTTTAGAAATGTCATTATAATTTTTAACCACAAGGTGAAACTTTTGGAGTACCTTCAGTACTGAGCTGAAGAAACATACCTGCCAATGCATTTGTAAAATATAACATTTTACATCCAAATTAAAAATGGTTAATGCCCAAATTGGCTGACATGGAAAAATCGTGCATTGTTCAACTCGGTATGTAGAAGTATGATTGTATGATTACATTAGGTGCCTACACAGTCTCAAAACAAAGTTTGCATGACGTGTGATCTCTGAGACTTAAGCCCTATTCACACGGGATTAGTATAACCTGGTGACCTCCAGTCATTTGTAATAATTGCGGAGGTTGTCTGTGATCTTAATCCCGTGTGAATCGGCCATGTCTGTAATTTGTAAATTAAAAATTCCCCCGCAAAAGACCTACCATATTTCGCCGAACACCGAGGTCCTGTGATCACATTAGCGCCGTGTGAATCGGCATCTCTGTGATTTGGCCTGCATTTGGCGGGTCGTATATTATTTTTCGAGGTTTTTGTTTCCTGTGCGCTTTTTTATCCATCTTTGTGAAGAATGGAGCTGCGTTGGAGTGTTTGATAGTATTTTGGGTGCTGTTATATCGCTACACCATACAATTTGTTGAAAGAAAAGGCTGAAAAGGTTTTGAGGTTAATGTGTTACAAATAAATCAAGCATAAAGCTTGAGATA